CCAGAGTCCTGCCGACTCGAGCCTCTGCCGGGATAAGTCCTCACCCCCTTGCACCACGGCTGCGTCCCATGCACACCCTTCAGCTCTGTGCGTTGCACACGTGACACCGGGTGTTAAAGAGCTTCCCAGGCAATGCAGAGAGCTCATCCGTCCTCGTCCCCCTGACAGCTGCGCCCAGGGAGTCGCCAGGAAGGGACTGGCAGCAAAGGCAGGATGGCCAGGGCCTCCCTCTCCCACCCCCTGCGCTGTCTGCAAGCCCCTGTTGCTCCAGAGGGCCACCCCTCAGCCACTGGCCTCTCAGCCTTTAAGGACACAGGCCTTGACCTGCCGCAAGTGCTCCCACGACAGCTGAGCAGGACCTGCCCGTGCCCAGTCCCTTCCAGGCCACTCTGGTGCCTCCTTCCTGTGTAAAAAGGCTCCTGCCCAGCCGGAGGCCCGTGAGACCCCACAGCGGCTACTAGTGCCAACAGCCAGCGAGCTGGCCCTGCTCTTTCGCCCAGAAATGCTTCCTCTCCTGGGAATCCACCCAAGGAAACATCCTCAAGTAAGAAACCTGTATATTCAAAGATCCCTGTCGTGCCACCGCCCAGAACAGCAGACAGTTGGCAGTGACCTGGGTGTCCCGCAGTAGGGGATTGGGCAACTAAGCCATAGCGCGGCCACCAAATCCACAACTAAGGGGCTGCACAGTCGTTAACGTGGCATTACTGCAGACGAGACTCCGGCATCCACACCCGCGGGTGTTCACTGCGGGACGTGACGCCGAAAAGCAGGGGAGGATCGCACGCCGGTGCGGACGCCCTCGCGCCACCCAACCGTGCACTCGAAAACTGTGACAATGGTAAATTTTATGTTAAGTGCGTTATTCTGCCACAATTTAAAATAAAATTTAAAATGCTAGAGAAAAGGGAAGGAGGACGCAAGCTCGTGTACCCGATGTGCTTGCACCGACGTGAAAGTGTCTCACGGCATCAGCACGATGGCAGTGGTCCCCATTCTCCACCTCCCACTTGCCCGCGCTCACCGCTTTTGTTTCTCTAGAAGGTGTCTGCGTGGCATCCAGCGCCCAGCACAGAACGGGTGCCCACAGATGCCAGCCTCTCCTAACGCCCCAGGGCCATGGTAGATGGGTTCTGGGCGGGCGGCGGCTGGGGACAGGCAGCTTTAGGGCAGCCGAAGTGGGGCTCCTCCATCCCCTTCTCTGTAGCCCCCTAAATGGGGAACCTCACTCAGCGTCTCAGAACTGGGAAGGGGAAGAGGTGCCAGCAGCCGAGCAGACACACGGGGCGGGCCAGCCGGCCTCGGTCCCAGTGTGTGAACGTGGTGAGTCACTGTCCCGCCTGTGTCGAATGGGCTTGGAGTCTGTCACAGAGGTTTCCAGATGCAGCTAGAGCCCAGCCTCAAAGGAGAGAAACGCCCACATGTCAGAGGGAAAGTTCGGGTCTGTTCTCCCCCAGCCGGGGAGGTCCCCGCAGTGCAGGCAGCCTGGCTTCGCCATGGCCGTACTTTTCCCTTCGGCTACCCCGAAATGGCTCGGATGTGGATCTGAATAGAGCCTGGTCCACAACTAGATTTCCCCTGTTAAAACAACACCCGGCGACGTCTTTGCAAAGCCCACTGGATAGACAGGTCGCGGGCCGCAGGGCACCGCTCGCCTGGCGCAGCCATTCCTCGGGCTCCAGGACTGAACTGCGGCTTCTTAAGGGCGGCACAGTCTCAGTCATGTGATTAGATGTGGAGTGAAGCGCAGGGGTCCAGCTTGGACCAGCTGGTAGGGGGCGCTGCTCAGGAAATAGCTGTAGAATGCAGCTAAAGTGAAGGGGAAACATCCAGGCGGGGAGGCGGACGAGGAGCCGTCCACTACGCATTCATTTATCTGTAAATACTTGCTTAGCACGCCAGCCCCGTGACGAGGACAGCCGGACGTTTCCTGCAGTGCAGTTTGGCTGCCCACGGGGAGCAGAGCCTCTGGCAAGCTGGGGTGGGGGGCGGGGGAAGGCCCCTCTGTTCTCGGGGCTGAGGGAGGCGGTGTGAGCGCGGAGGCCCTCTCAGCTCGGACAGCTGCTATTCTCAGCTCAACCTCGTCTCAGCTTTAGGCTCAGCCACAAACTTCCTGCGAAAGGGTGATGCTCTTTATCATGCGTGTGCATCACAGAAATCAAATTATCCCTTCCCTCCCGCTGAGGCTAGTCCGCCCACGGCACACTCACAGCGGCCCAGTCTGAATGCTCTGCCACAGCTAAAAGCAGGCTATAAATAAACACTGTGTGGCCACCCGCACAGAGCTGCACAGACAGTCTACTGAGGGACGGGACTGTGTCTGCTCCGGTGCTGAATGTCCCCACTACTTCTGTGCCAGCACACCAGCTCTTAATTCTTCTGTCTCCTTCCTTGCTATCAGGCTACTGGGCAACTGCGAAACTGCCTCTGACAGTCCGGAGCCACCAGTATTTATCCATCACCAACTGTATATCAGGTCCTGTGCAGACTCCTGGTACTCACTACTTCTATAAGTGAAAAATACCCATAACCAAGCTTGTTAGAATTGTGGGTAAAACTAGAGTTCATAGGCCTGACCAAAAGCTATGGGGCATCCCCCATGGGTAAAAGCTCGGGTACGAGCTTGAATGAAAGCACTTAGGGACACCATCTCTGGCTTCTCAGAAACCACTTTGCCTCCCTCCTTACAGTGAGCTAATGCCAGAAACAGGACTCCCCCCTGTGTTCTGGGTGGGTGGGGTTGCCAGGTAACTAAAGGGCTCTGGTAGTCAACATGATCTTTTTAGTTCAGAGGTTTCCTTCCACTACTTAAAGACCAGTTGTTTGTAACCAGGCTGCCGCCAGGCTGCAAAGTTAATAGCAGTGCCTTGGGCTGGGGTGGGGGAAGCCTGGAGAGGGGCCAGGCTGGCCGGGCTGTTCTTAACATACCCACTGTGGCCCAAGGGTGTGCCTTTTCTGTTTACAGAGAGGTCTATACATTGAACTTCAAAACACTGTTCTATCCACCTTGTCTGATCTTCTTACCCCTCTGGGAAGTAAGAGGACAGAATTTTTTTCTGCATTTCCCTGATGTGGACCCTGCAGCCCAAAGATCCAGCGTGACATAGGCACATAGAGGGACAATGCAACACTGGGTGACACAAGCCCCGGGGCCAGGCTTCCCGGGTTTAATCCCAGCTGTGTGACCTTGGGCAAGGCCCTTAAGCTCTCTGTGCTTCAATTTCCTCATCTAAAAAATAGGGATACCGATCGCATGTGTCATGAGGATGAGTAAACATACACGGACCTGAGAACAGCACCTGGCACACCTTTCGTGCGCAGTGTTAGTTGCTACCAAGCACGGCTGGGCGTTAGGGAGCAGTTTTAGAATCCAGAGCCCCGGGGCAGGTGATACTTGCAGTGACCTTGTGAGAGGCTCCCACTGGCATCGTCTCTCCCGCTCCTGCACTGGCTTTTCCTGGAGAGGCTGTGTCCTCACCCCAGGCCCAAGGAGCCAGGCACGGAGGAGAACAGGCACATGGAGGCCGTGAAGGCCACAGCTGCCCAGGGGGGCGGCAAGTGCAGAGCGTGGGCGGGGTGCCACTTGGGAAACTACCACAGGTGGGCTGGTTGCTTCTGCTGCTGCTGCCACACCCTGCTCCCTGCTGCGCCACCCCCTGCCCAGGTCCTGCTTGCTCCTTGCCTCAGCTCCCTGCTGGGGAAGGCAGGCCCCAGGGGCTCTGGGCTGGGTCAGAGGTCCTGGAGGTAAAACAGCTGTTCCTGGCCTGCCCTGGGCTACGAAGTGGCCCGGATTTCCCCTTCCCCCAACTTGGCACTCCAAGTCAGGGCAGCCATGCGGTGACTCACACCCCCCAGTCCTGCCCCGGGTTCCAGCTGCCAGCCTGGGCTGCGAGCACCCTGGTGCCTGGTGCTCGGGATGGGCCAAGCCAGCTCTGCCTCCACGGGCTTCTCTGGGCTGGTCCCACTCCCGCTTTGTAGAGATAGGGAAACTGAGGCCCAGAGAGGCACAGGGTGCCCTCCCCAGGCAGGGTCCTCTGCCCACTGTGCAGTCAGCGCCAGGGAAGCAGGCCACTCATGCTGGCCACGGGCCCCAAGCAGAGCTGGCCCGGAAGGGAAGGAAGACCTGGCTCGTTAGCTCTTGTCCTCCTGGCTGCGGCCCCAGGACAGGGCCCAGGGAGGCCAGGAGTCAGCACAGCTGCATTCCCCAGCTCTACCAGAGAGGTCTTAGCTTTCCCCAGGAGTCCTGGGGACAGCCAGATCTTGAGGACCAGAGGGATGGTTGAAGTACAGCTGGAAAAAAGCCAAGGGATGGAGGCCCAAGCTGGGCTGCGAGCTATGTGGCCTGGGCCAAGCCACTTTCCCTCCACCACTGGCCGGGTGCCCCCATGTCATGGGTGAAATGATTTTATGCCTGTGCTGAATTCAAGAAAGCAAGCAAGGAAGTGCCCAGCCTGGCTGCCTCCTCGATGGGCCCCTAAGGTCTGCAAGGGACGAGGTGCTGGGTGAGGGAAGAGGATGACCGCCTGGTGTGCCAGCAAGGTGCATCAGCCCTCCTTGCCTATTCCTCCCATGCAGCTGGTATGCTGATTTTTGTTTATCTCCATCATACAGAGGGAAAGAGTGAGGCTCACGGACATAAAACGACTTGCCCAGCCTGTAAGTCACAGAGCCAAGATCTGAACACGAGTTTGTCTGGGCCCCAAGTCGGTGACCCACACGGCGTCCTCAAGCCCCCAGCCACATAGCTGCTCCCGACAAGCTCCTGCTGTGGGGAGAGGTCTCCCGAGGAGAAAGCAGCCCCAGGAGCAGAGAGGAGGCTCCTCCCCACGGCGCCCCTTGCCCACCAACTCAGATGGGGCGGGTGCCCAGGCCCCCACGACAGTTAAGACCAAAAGTCAACCACTATTTTTATGAGCTAACTCCCTCCTTGGAGCCGTGGGAAATCCCGGCCTAGCTAGGCCCGTTACACTTGCTCAGTGCCACCGGCCATCCGCACTCACCCAAAAGGCATCTCTGAACAGCAGCTGGGGCATCATCCTCAGGCGTCTGCCGCGCCACAGCGCGCTCTCCTGCCACAGGCCTGCCCCAGGGCCAGGCGCCAGGAGCAGCGTCCCAGTCCCCCTCCCGCTGGCGTCTGCAGCACTCTGAGCTTAGAAGGCAGCCGCAGGCCTGCGACCAGCTGCCAACGGAGGAAAAAGCTCGACCTGTTTGTTTGGGGCAGAATCAGCAGGAAAATGAGGAAGGAGCGGGGCTCAGTGATGGGAGGGCGGGCCCTGGTGTCCGCCGGCCCCTCGCCAGCCCTGCCACGATGGAGGACACGGGCTGGGACCCAGGGCGGGGAGTGGGGATGCCAGCCCGGGTGGGAGGCAGTGGCCGGGGAGAGGCAGGCTGGAGCTCGGGCCGGCCGGGCAGGCAGCCTGAGGCCTGCGCAGAAGGTTTGAGCAACGTCCGCGGGGCAGGCCCCGGGGCCCTCGCCCACAGGAAGTGGAGCTGCCGTGCTCCCCTGTGCGGCCCCGCCTGCCACCTGCCATCCTGCTGCCTGCCTCTGCATGCCCCTCCCAGTGCCCCGGCTCAGTTTACTCTCAGAGGCCACGAACGTAGGGAGCTTGAGGCCCACTGATGCTGGGGGCAAGGAGAGGCCCAGGAGCTCCAGGTGCTGTCGCCCCCCAGCCCGGCCCCTCTCCAGGCCCGGCCCAGAGATGCTAGACTTTCTACCCTCACCAGGAAGCCATTCCGCAGGGGCTCACCCAGGCCTGGGCATCTGTCCCTCATCAAACCCTGGCTACGTGGTGCCCCGGACCAGGTCCTGCCCGCAAAGAGCTTGCGGTCTGGGGACAGGCAGCTATGCTCCGGGGGACTGTGGGAGCACAGAGGTGAGGCGAGCGGGTAACTAGCCAAGAGAGAGCCCTGGCCTCACGGGCACTGCCCCTCACCACCGCCACCGCCACCACCGCCAACGCCACCACTGCCACTGCCACCACCGCCAAGCCTCCAGGTGAGACACTCTCTGGGGCAGGGAAGCCCCCTCTGATGATGGAGTCATCAGGCTCGATGAATGGGACTGGACCAAGACAGAGACAAAATTATAAAGGCAGAGAGGTGGGCGTTTGGAGACCAGGCTGAGGCCCCAGTTTTTGTTTAGTTTGGGCCCCACCCTTCGGTAGCTGAAGGACCCTAATAGAACCCCCAGGGCTCTGAGCCTCGGTTTCCTCATCTGCCACTTCTAGTCTTTGGAAAGGAGACAGTGCCAAGAATATTTCTGGAATTTCCAGTTTTCTAGGAAGGTGCTGAGGGCAGTCTGGCACCACCTTGGGAGGAGCCCCAGACACAGCCCCGGGAAGCTAGGCCCTGCCCACTCGGGAGAAGATGCCGGGAGTCCTGAGCCCGGGGGCTGGTGAGAAGGGCTGAGTCAGGGCTTGTCCACGAATCACCACCCTCACTGATGTCTGCCTGGCTGCTGACTGGGCGATAAGAGCCCGGGCTGCTGCAGAAGACAAAGCGAAACCTGAGCCAGGGTTTAGAGAGGGGGCACGCCCAGGCCTCTGAAATAGCCACCCAAGAGGACACACATCAGGAGAACCGCAGAGCAATGGGGCTGTCCCCGAAGCCCCTTACCTCTGGGATCCTTGGACTTGAGCTAACGAACATCTTTGGCATCTGAGGCATGCCGGCCAGGTTTCCTGTTACTCGCGGCTGACGACAGCTAATGGGCAGAATCACCTGGAACTCCAGAGTCCATAGGCCAAGCCTGCGCCTCTCATCCCAGTGGCATCACCAGCTCCAGTGAAACTGGGCCTCCCTGAGCTCAGTGTCTCGTCCACCAAATGGGGTGATGCCTCCAGCTCTGGAGGCAGACTGGAAACCCTCTGTTAACAGAAAGCTCCTACCCTCTTTTGGCAGGAAACTTCATGGCCGGGCTCCCTGCCCTGCTTTTCCAGGTGTTCTTCCCATCACCTCCCACAACTTCTGTTCCAGCCAGGCTGTTCCCTCTTCCCCACGGCGCCCTTCCCACTCCAACTTCCACACCTGTGCTGCTCTGTGCCCAGCCCCTCCTGGCATGCCTTCCTTGATCTTCCTTACCTGGGCAAGTCCTCCCACCCCTAAGGCCACCCTCAAGGCTCCCACACCTGAGACCTTCTTTTCCCAGTGGTGCGGGTCCCGCCAGGGCAGCCCTGGACGCACCACCATGCTGAGTGTGGGCTGGAGCAACTGGGGAAGTAACGTGAAGAACAACTCAGAGACTCTATAAAGTTCTCTGCTAGGAGGGCTTCCTTCCCCTCCCCCTTTCCCTTTGCAGCTCCCAAGGTCGGACGACCAGACGGCCAGTTTGGCCTTGGAGCCCTTGCCAAGTGCCGGGTGCGCCATGACGCTTTTTGCACGGACCTCCTCACTTACACTATCATCGTCCCCACTTTCCAGATGTGCAGACTGTGGTGAGAGAGTGTGTGCACTCCCCCAAGCAACAGCCAGCAAGCGCAGGGCTGGGCTTTGGTCCCAGTCTGATTACGAAGCCACACTTTTAACTTCCAGGGTTGTCTCTTACCGACAGCCTCTATTTAAAAAGGGCTTCATCCTGCCTTCCTCCGGTTCTGCCTCCAGAACCTCTCACTCCAGTCCACAGATGGAAAAACTGAGCCCAGGGCGGCTGCTGGTGCTTTTGGGTGAGAGTCCGGCCTTGGCGAGTGCTGTCCCGCCGCCACTGTGTTCTCCGCACCCACTGAGGATGCTTTCGGGGGTCTGACACGGAGGAAGTGCGTCTTCACTCACAGGCGCGGTCCAGCTCCAGCCCAGCTCCTCTGAGCTGCTCCTCCACCCACCATCTTCCTCCGTGGGCTGGAGGCCACGGAGCTGCCGCTGCCCTCAGCTACAGCTCCAGACACGGCCACATGGAGAGGAAGAAAAGGGACACCTGCGCCTGTGCCTCATTTTCCCCAAAGTCCCTCCAGCTCCCCTTCCACCCAGCCCCCCCCCGACCTCCCCTCCTGTCTCATTGGCCAGAAGTGGGCCACATGCTCATCGCTGGCCGTGGGAAGGGACTCCCTGTTCGGGCGGCCCTGGATGCTGGGAGCCAACCGCGGTGACCACCCAGCCTTCTCCCCCGCCCAGGGCCACAGACGCGGGCGGATGTGATCTCCGCCCTGAGGGGCCACTGGCTGACGGACAGGTTCCAGCACATTGACTGCCACACTAGAAAAAAAATTCTTTTCCTTGGGACCATGGTGTTTTATTACGAAAACAGAATAAAAACTTCGAAAACAAAATGATCCTTTCTAATTTAATGAAAAATTTGTTATTATTTTTTATTGTTTTCTGTGCGTGAGTTATATGCAACTGAAAAAAGAGTTCTCGCGGCTCCCAAGGCGAAGAGACGTGCGAGTTACATGTGCTGCATGTGCTGCACGAGGCCCCGGGCTCGAAACTAGCGAGAGTTAAATCCAGCTCACGTGGCAGTTCCCGTGCGAGCAAGGTCTCTCTCCACGGGCCGGGTGAGACCAGAAGAGGATACTGTGATAACGGGGAGAGCGATGAGGCCTGGCTGGTAACCGGGCGGGACGTCAGGGAGGTGGAGGAGCCAGGCCAAGGCACCTGGGCGCCCTCCCTCACAGCCGCACTGCACCCAAGCCCAGCCCCTCCAGAGGGGAATCTGGTCCTGAAAAGCACAGCTTTTTAGTGACTGTTCCAGATGCTTCAAGCCAACGCGCCCTGAGATCTGGGCAGATGTGCCAGGCTCGGGGGCAATCCCCCACCCAGGCAGAGCCTGCCCTGCTTCGGATGGTATTTGAACACAGCTGCTGGAAGAATTCGAGCAGTAGCAGGTCAACGGTTAAGAATAAAATGCAAAATCAGTTGTTATAACATTTATTGCCACAGCCCCAGCCTAGCCGGACTCGGCGTCTGAAGCCCCTTCATCCACCCATCGGAGCCGCACGAGTGAGCCAGGCAGTAACGCTCGCCACCCCCAGGGAGTGTCAGCACCTCCAGGGCGGCGCAGTCCACCCGCTTCATCTCATCCGTCGCTCAGCGCCAGGACCAGCTGCATACTTTGCAGGGCCGGCACAAAATAAAAATGTGAGGCTCAAGTAGCAGGGGAAAATTGCCATTAAAGTACTAGAATACAGAACTTTTTCCTTTCCCGCGGTCTCTCTCTCAACCTGCAATGGCGTTTTTTATTTGCTGTTTAATGTTACACTCCCTTGGGCATAGGAATATTTGCAGGACAAGCCTCTACCCGCACTGGGTTCTGCGTGAAACCCACGGACTGTAGGGTTCTCCTCCTGCCACCACGCCGCCCTGCGCTCGCCTGCTGGGGACATCCAGCCAGACGCTGCCGTTTCCCATGGACCTGCCGCCAACCGGCGCTGGACGCGCAACCCCCAGGGGTGCTGCAAGCTCCATGCCGGGGTGCACTAGAGACCTGGGCGATCGATGAGTGAGAGGCTCACCCCCCCACCCCGTCACCTGCTGAATGTGCCGCGTGTTGTCGGCCTGGGGCGGGGGCAGCGCGGCCAGGCCCCACCCTCAGATGCTACCAGGCAAGCCCTCGACCCTGACTGTCCCCACGCCTGCACCCAGGTCCCTGCTGGGGGCAGAGGGTGGCAGTGGTCACGAGGCAGGAGTAGAGTGGGAGGCTGGGAACCAGTCCAGGTGAGGCGGTGGGAGGCAGGACCACACGAGCCAAGGCTCCAAGCACTCGGTGCATGCTCCATTGTCCCACCGGTCTGTACTTGAGAACCACAAATTCAACAGTAATGTTATTAAGAATTCCCAGACGGCAATCGCAGAGCACTGGACCCGAGTGCTGCGCCCTCCCGGAGGGAAGCGTTTCCTGGAGGAGTGTCCCTCAATCTGCCATCCACTTGTGTCCAGAGGGGCGTTCATGAGTCGGCTATTGAGCGAGACCTTGGTGGGTGCACGGCCGTGGTGCTCCCATGCTGTTGGTTGCCCACCCTTTCAGCCCATGGCTGAATTGGGATGTTCCAGAACCCAGCCATGGGGGTCCACTGTTCCTGGGGGAGATGCCTGCAGCGTCCCGCCAGGTGGCTGGAGGCACATGTCCACTGTGCCGGGGCACCCACCGTCAACCCCGCCTGCCCTGCCCTCGAGTGGAACAAGCCCTGCTGCGCGCACCCCCAGCATTCCTGAGCCTCCCTGTCTGGGGACATGGAAACGCACCAGGCACCGCGCCTGCCAGTCTGGCGGGGAGGCGGCCCAGGGAGGGAGGGTGTGCTGAGTGCGGGCAGCAGCATGTGCCCGCAGAGAGAGGCTCTGGCCCGTGAAGAGAGAGCGGCCTCGCCCGGGACGTCCTCCCGCAGGACAGCAGCTGGGTCTTGATTAATGAGAAAGAGCCCACCCGTGAGACCAGGCGGGAAAGGAGGTGTCAGGGTGGAAAGCCAGCAGGTGCTATGTCAGCAAGGCCG